CCACCTCACCGCGGGCAGGGGCACAACCCCGACCCGCTTCAGCGCTCGTCTGCAACACTGAAACGGCACCGACTGTGCGGCCGGTGCAGCCTCCCTGTCCGGCTTCCCCTGGCCTGGGTGTGGGTGTGGGTGTATGTGCACCGGTGCTACCGGGATACATCGATGTGTGCACACACACACAGACCCGCTTGCAGCAAAACAGCGTTCCAAAAACCCCATCATCTTGGTTTACAGATGAAAATGCTGCATGTGGATTTATTCAGCCTGCTGTGCCCTGAATTGCGGGCAGCAGCCTCCCACGCTGCGCTTTGAGATGGATCTGTGAGAGTCTTTGCCTTCTGTTCCACTTAGAGCTTTTCTGATTCTAATATTTGCTAATTGCACGTTTCTATATGTGACACAATGTTACTGTTTTAAACTTACTTTTGTTAGCACTTGTGAAAACCCGTGTACAGTGATTAATTCATCAAATCAATGCAGATCAGGGGGTTAAAGACCTGCAGAGTAGCCGATTTAATTATAATAACAGCTGATATTACACGTGATACAAGGTTGTGATTGCATTTGCCTGCTGCTCCTGGAATAATAACTTTTATTCCCTTCCTCATTAGGACAATGGCTTCTGTCTCCGAGCGCACGTTCATTGCCATCAAGCCCGACGGAGTCCAGCGGGGACTGGTAGGAGAAATCATCAAGCGGTTTGAACAGAAAGGATTCAAACTGGTGGCCATGAAATTAATACGTGTAAGCTTTCCTGAATTTGTATGTCTCCTTTTCCGTATAAACTGCAGCTTTAAAATACAGCAGCATGCTAGAATGACAAATGTAGTCTTCAGAACAATTAAACCTGAAATTTGAAGATGTCTTTGAATATTTTGGATATTTTGGAAAAGTTCCAATTCCCAGCTCTGGCTAAATGCTTTAGACATGCTAAGCACGCTAATTTTAGTAACTTCATGTCCTTAGTCTGAAGATAATATTCTTTTAGGTGCATCCTCTACCTCATAAATATCTCTGACTATTTTCAACAAATGCCAGGTCACTTAAGCTGCCTTTACTGACAAAAGATACATTTTTAAGTTCAGCTGTGGTTAAAGCAAACAGTTCAAATTCATATCAACCAAAAGGACTTCTAGGAAGATGCTAGAAATGCTGAATATTTAAGTGTCTGCAAGTTTTAAGATTAATAGTGCTCTGTGGTTAATCTATGTGTATTTCAGGGTGCTCTTAAATTCTTACAGTAAGCTTTTTTTGTTTGGTTGGTTGGTTTTTAACGCAGGCTTCTGAAGACCTTCTGAGAGAACACTACATTGACCTAAAAGATCGGCCATTCTATGATGGTCTAGTGCAGTATATGCACTCTGGACCTGTTGTAGCTATGGTGAGTTCTTAAAAATGAAGCTCATCTAATAAAAATATACCACTTAATTGTCTTACCAGCAATAAGATTGTGTTACCTATTGAATACTATTGTACTTTTAAAAGGCTTTTAAAACCTAGATTAAAATACTGTAGATAGTAAGATACTCTTGGTAACTCCTTTTTCTTTAGGCTTTTTTTCAAAATCTTTCTCTCCTTTGAGTCAGTATGTTGAGGAAGAGGGCAGGGGTAAAGGGACAACCAAAACCGGGACCTTGAGAAGCACTAAATCTGCACAAAAATCCTCACTATGAAATGCTGTGTATAATGCAAGCTGAAAATTTATGGTGGAATATTTTTACTATACTCCTAAGATATAATGACTTTGAAAATATTGTTGAATCTAACTTCATTAGAAGGGATTTTCTGTTTTTTTCCTTCATAGTTTATTTGTAAAATACTTGAGCTGGAGGTCTAGAACTTCAGTGAGCAGACAGCTTTGTAAGGCTGTTTACCATATTGAGATTTAAAATTGTTCTCTTCCCATCCTTGGGGAGGAAACGTATTGTGCAGAAGGGAAGAGCTTCAGCAGATGCTTCAAGAATGCGACATACAAAAAAAATTGGAGATAAAATATGTCTTGCTATTAGGAATATTTGGATGGTGATTTGTGCCATGATGAGCAGCACTGTGTAATTCTGGAAGTTATGATTAACTCTTGTTACTTTATCTACTGCTAAGATTTCATAATCTCAATGGATTTATTTTTTTTTTTAAGGTGTGGGAAGGTCTTAACGTGGTTAAGTCTGGAAGAGTGATGCTGGGGGAAACTAATCCATTTGATTCAAAGCCTGGCACTATTCGTGGTGACCTCTGCGTTCAAGTTGGAAGGTATATTTTGAAACTATTCATATCATCTAAAGACACTAAACATCCAGTGGTATGTCATGATATATGTCATGATATATGTCATGATATATGCAGGAACTGTGCTCCATCCTTCTCTCTCTTAAGTGTGGAGCTGCTGTTCCCTGTGCCCGTGTCATGTTACTATCTAAGGTGGAAGTCAAGTTGAGGTCTTCCCCGTTGACAAAAACGATGAGCAAAGCTGGGGCTGCATACTCTGTGCCTCTTACTACTTGACAATTACCTACAACTTCTTTCCTTAATGGAGAGCACTTCAAAAATAAAAAGCAGCTTGCTTTGCTTTAAATTTGAGGGTTATATTACTTTTATATCGACCTTTTCTTTTCCTAGGAACATCATTCATGGAAGTGATTCTGTAGAAAGTGCTGAGACAGAGATCAATTTGTGGTTCACTCCTGAAGAGCTGGTTGATTACAGAAGCTGTGCTCACGAATGGATCTTTGAGCAAAACTGAGCCTGTACCTTTTGATATCCCCACTGCCTGTGAACAGCTGCTGGCTTCTAGCTACTTCAAAGCCCTTCGTATAAACTGGTAGAAACCTGCCTCAGAAATCCGTGAGATTGCTCTGTTGTGAATGTTAAATATAGTGTTTAAAATAATTAGTTAACTTAAATAATGAAAATTAAATTAAGTCAGTGTTTGCTGCTGCTTTGGTTAAACAGCTGTTAAGCTATGGATGGAATTGTACTTTTAAAAAGCTGCTTTTAGTGGTGAGAGAGATAAGATTAAAACGCAGATAAGTACAGTATCCATTGTTAGTGACACAGAATGCATATATTTTCCTGAGACACTCTGTAGTCAAAGAGGATATTTTGGTAAATAAAAAAAAATTGGTAAAAATTTATTTGGTAAATAAATATGCAAATTGCTTAGTGTCAAATGTTAACTTTATTAAAATGTTAGGGGACAGCTGGTGGCATGTAAATATATTGATAGTGTGTGCCCACGTGTTGAGGATTGAACTCGAATCCCCGTGCCCAAAACGGCTGCAGAAAAAACCCCTTCTTTATTTCTCTCTGCAGAACGCGCTGTGTCTGTGCTCAGCGCATCGCTTTGATTGAAATGAGAACTTTAGATGGACACTGTTTCAGCTTGCTGGTTTTTTCCCCACATGGGATTTATTTAGCATTTTAAGGAAGGATTAATAGGCCAGGCTTTCTGAAATGCCCTTTTATGTGGAAAGAAGATTAATGTGAGGATGGATGAGGGAGATCTACCTTCAGCCACTTCACTGTAGCAGTCTCTGACACTGCACAAAGCAACAACAGAGTGATGTTTGCTTTACTGAACAGCTGATAATTTCACCATGTCTTTGTGTTCTTTCCGTAATAGTTAGAACTCCAAAGCAAGCTGTTCCTGGGTAAGGTACTTCAGAAGTGACTTGAGCATTTTTTATATTATTATTTTTTAATCATGTAAAGGAATCCAGTCATACTAATGACATGTATTCAGTAGAGGTGTCTGCTTCCGTCAGAGAAAACTATCAGCCTCTTGCAGGGATTTTAACAACAAATGTTCACTAGCAATACTGGAGGAGGAAGAAGAAATGTGTTGGGGTCAATATTACCTGTTTATTTACCTGCAATATTGTATTCTGCAATACCTGCAATATTCCTGTATTAAAAGCAGGAGTTTAATGAAATTAATTATTCAAACTCCTAGGATTTTTTTCCTAGAGTGAGTTCTTGTTTCAAATATTAAACATCACAAAGGATGTTGAATTCAATGCTGATGGTACTTTATGAAGATATCTAACTCCTAAAAAGAGATGGTACAAAATAAAACGTTTGCTGTTTCTTAAGTGAAATAAAAGGAACTTTTCTATATATTGTCTTAGATCTAATTAATGTGTATAAGGAGAGGGAACACACTCCCTAACTACCAAACTGTAGGTGAGGTTGTTAGCTTCTTTTCTGAAAATATTCAGTGTTATAGAAGATAAAGGTTGTTAGAGAAAAAGGAACATGTGACAACCCATGCATGAGGTAAGTGGTCTCCAGTTCCATTTTTGCTTGAGGTTTCTTTTTCTTGATTTGCTTGCTACAAAATAGAGAAATTTGGGTTATCTGGAGATGTGGGGGTTGTCAGAAAGCTACTGATTAGTATTTCTAATGCCTTGAGACCGAACGTGGAAGTCTGGCATCTCTCAGAAGAAATGCAACACTCCTGCACATCTGAGGTGTCTGACTGAGCGTTCCAGTTTCACTAATTGTAAGTGGCCCATCAATGGGAGACTGTGTAAGTCCTGCAAAGGGTCTTTAATTAATATTATAACTGCAGTGATGGTATATGATTATAACTGGCTCAGGAAGAGACAATCCGTTTTGTAAATTAGTGAAGTACAAAATAGTAAACAGAGTAAGTAACAGCACCCTTCCTAATTCTCATGATGCGTTTCCAGGGACTGTGCAGTTTTACATCTGCATTTTGACACTGCAGCTTCATCTTCCCGTATCCCAAGAAAATCGGTAACTTTCCTGGCTTACAGATTCTACGTGACTTTTCAGTGAGAAATGTAATTTCAAGCAGCTGTGAGGCGCGCAGCCTGGGTCAGGCTACGTTGGCAGTAACCACGAGTCAGCAGGCTGCGGGGAGATCTCTGAAAATAGCGAAGCGAGTACCTCTTGGTAAAAAATGATTTATTAATCTTTTCACTGAGGAGAAGGCTTACGGCCCCACTGCCGCAACTGGAAACCATTAACCTTCAAGGCGCCTTTCCAGGAGGTGAAGGCGACAGGTGCCGCGGCGGCCCCAGCTGCC